CCCAGGGTCCTGGGATTGAGCCCCACATCGGGCTCCCTGCTCAGCGGGGAGCCTGCTTCTCCCTCTCCCACTCCCCTGCTTGTGTTCCCTCTCTCGCTGTCTCTCTCTGTCAAATAAATAAAATCTTTAAAAAAAAAAAGAAATAATTCAAAATTTAGTAGTAGTGGAGTAAATTTTGGTTCACATTAAAAATGAACCTATTATATAAGAGATTTCATTGTAATTTGATACAATTTATTCAGTAAGGCTGGCAGAATTCTATGGCTATAAGAAGTTTATTCAGGAGTCTCCCATTAGGTAATTCAATACACCCTTGATTTTCACCATTCCTGAGGAATAGTGGCTAATCAAACACATTTACATACACTTACCGTGGAGAATCGATTCCACTATCTCCTGCCATGCTCTGATTTTCTGTTCCTTCCAAATGACTGTGTTCGTGTTGGATATCCTGAGCCAACACTGGCCTACGTGAAGTATTGAAAAGTTCTAACTTTTGTGTGAACTGCTTTCTCATTCCCTGATTCTGAGCACTCTGACTCCAGCTAGCTGGTTTCTTTCCTGTGTCACCAACAGAATCTTGGAGGGTTTCAGTCTCAGAATGGGCTTTCCTTGTGCTATAGTAATCAAATATACTTCCATCCGCGGATGCTGAGGCCTGTGCACATGTAGCAACACTGGGTTCCTCTTCATAGTTAAAACTGGACTGAGTCCCTGAATTGAGGCCACCACTTTCAGCAGAGAGATTAGGTGTTTGGCTTTCACCTGGGTTAGTAAAAAACCCAGTGGGTTTGTAACACTCATTTCCTTCAAGCACCTGAAGCTCAGACCTGTGTATTTTGTTGTTGTACTCAGTCAGAGATATTTCTGTCACTTTCTGTTTCCCCAAATGATTCCACTTGCTTCTCCCTGCAAAGGAATACTGAATGCGGCCAGGCAACATTTGACATAAGTCATCATTCTCGGAAAAGTCCTCCTCGTCTAGATATAATGAACTACAAGCACCATCATCATCTTCCAGTTCATTCTGATACAAGGCCTGCTTATCATCAGAAAGCCCCTTGTTTTCTAGATCCACAGTCTCTGCTTCCGGGACAAATGCCTTTCTCGTTGGTATTTCTTCTAAGTCTCCATCTTGTCTCTCAGGTTGTCTCAAATAGTTCGTACTAACTGGGTAATCCAGAAGACCAAGATTTTGGAACTGGTGTGTTGTTTGATCAACTATTCTACAAGCAGAGGAGGCATGGCCTAAAGAGGAGGAACCTTGTGACAGCAGGACATGCCGTGTTTCTGTGGCTTCCCCTAATGTGTCAAAGGGAGAATAACTTTTCCTCAAGACTTCAGGGATTACCTCGTTTTTTCCACCATATACATCATATCTCAACATGCTTTCCTGAAAGGAACATTTACTGCCATTTTGCAAAACACTACATTGAGAGTAATTTAAGAGGGGATCTCTGAAGTCATCACTGACAGGTTTGACGGCAGAGTTATTCACATAAATGGATTCTGCCATCGGTTTATCTTTACATTGTTCAGCATGTGGCTCTTTGAGTTCACTCTCAAAGATTCTTGAGGAGTCCAAAGACCTTGACCTTGGGAAAGGCTTTCCCTTTGGTCCAGTCTGACTGGGTTTCAGATCACTGGTCTTCTGGATGTTGTGCCCTTTGGTTACTGGAATCCCTCGGGGAGAAAAACCTGCGAAAGGATTACTAATTCGCTTCTTGTAAATCAAATGGGACCCCAGCACTGACAGGTTCTCATCAAGTGGTTTCTGAACTACTGCTCCATTTGGGCTTTTAATTCTGGGGGTGGGTTGTGTAGCAGGGAGCTTGGGATGTTTCTCCAGTCTAATGCTTCCTGGCTGAGGCTCGCTTCCCGGACTCCCGGCTTTGTGCCTATCCCTCTGAGAAGGGCCCCGCCTTCTTCGAGGCTTTGCAGACCAGCCCCTGCGGTTCCTCATTCCCTCTTTTGAAGGATATTTATGCCTCATCGTCAGCATATCAGTGGAAGTGCCCTGGCTATTATATTGTTTCTGTTCCTCGTATTTTTGCATCAAGACTGTATGTTTGATTAAGTTGTCAACGGTCAGAATGGGATTAATTCTTCTGATAATCTCATGTTCGACATCTCGAGGGATATTGTCCAAGTTATCTTCATCTCGGACGGGCCATTCTTCTGGTGGGAACTGGGCAGAGAAACTGCTGTGCTCTGTTCTGGACTTCTCCTTCCTGGATAGACTACGCCAGAAGAGGCTAAAGCCAAACTTCTTGCCTTTTTCTCTGTCTTTTGTGTCTGGTAATGGTTTGGCACTTTCACAGATGTGATTCTCCTCAGACACTGAAACCGCTCGATTCTGTACCAAAGATCTGGATTCCTGAAGACCCTTCTGGCCTTCTCTAGCCATTTCTGCAGCCGCCGGTGTCGCCTCTACGTCCTGAGTGCACGGGTCAGGGAAACACCGGCAAGACTGACAATGGGAAATGGGGGCAGCATTGCCTTTGGCTAGTTCCGCACAGCTGGCTACGCTCACCAGATACCTAATGCAAGTTGGCACCGGGTGACTTTCATCTGATAGGTCTCTCTTATTTTCTTGAGGGGTTGTATTCGTGATGAAGTAAGTCTGAGGGGTGACTATGAAGTATCCCTCTCCAGTGTGATAAATCTTCCTTTCTTTAATCAGAGTTCCCAGAGTGGTATAGAGAATATCTTGAGATGGAATTGCAATGCCTAAAACAAACAAGCATTTCATTACACTGATAGATTTTGAATTAAAAAAAGCATTTTGATGAGTGAAATCAGGAAGTCAGAAATGACCACACATGTGCTTGATGAGCCCAGAGCTAACTGTAACACAATAAATATAATTACAATGCCAAAGAAGCAGTCATAATAGTCACAGTTTAATTGAATAATAGGAATACAATTTGGTCCACACAAAGACATAGGGCTAAATTAATGGTTAAGTAGAGAAAAAAATCTGAGTTCCCTTGAACACACACAGGAAGTTATACAAACCCATCATGAATTTAAATTTTCACTTCAAGACAGCATTCTTGGAAGCAAACATGGGAGTTTTTGAAAATCACAGCTTCATTGCTTAAATCTTAATAAGAATCTAAAGAGAAAATGAAAACCAGTCTGTGCCAGGATGAGGGCAAACTACCTAATATCTATATTATGATAGTTTTTCAAAGTAGGAAGGTAACAATTTTAAAAGAAATTCCTTTTTCCAAATATCAGGGTTCAAAATTGTATTTATATTGTGAAACAAGTTTGTATAACACTGGAAGAAAATACATCAATATATTAACATTTCCTGGGACGCCTGGGTGGCTCAGTCGCTTAAGTATCTGCCTTCAGCTCAGGTCATGGTCCCGGGGTCCTGGGATCAAGCCCCATATCAGGCTCCCTGCTCAGCGGGGAGTCTGCCCCTCCCTCTCCATCTGCCTCTCCCCCAGCTCATGCTCTCTCTCTCTCAAATAAATAAATAAAATCTTAAAACAAGACAAAACAAAAAAACAAAATCAAGAGTTTGACACTTAAGCAACTAGGTCACCCAGGCACCCCCCAAAATATTTTTTTAACTTAAGCAATGTGCGAACAATGTAAAGAATGATCCAATTTATGTTATTAAAAAAATACATATACTCAAATACAATTTATGAAAGTATACACAGGAAAAGATAAACAATATAAGCTGTCACCTCTGGGAAGTGGCAATGGAAGAATGGGATCGGGGGGGGAGATGAACTTTTCCTTTTTTTGCTTTGTACTCCTTTCTACAGTATGATTTGTTTATTGCCATAAGCATTGTTTTTGAAAAAGTTCATCTGGAAAGTAAAAGAAATGCCCTTATCAAATTTGTTGATGCAGGCCTTTTCCTAGCAAGGCTCTCATACAAGTTTCTACAATAGAAAAAAAAAGTGGATATCGCTCAGTTTATTCACATCTTTAAGAGGATTTATAAATAGAAAGCAAGCAATGAACTAATAGAGAAAACTTGTCACGCTACCTGGGTAGTGTTTCATCAAATGCTCCAACAGTGATTCCTGTGTCACCACAATCTGGGCAGCATTCATATCAGATACAGCACAGCAAAGAACTTCAGCCAAAGGTATAAACTGAGATTGAGCTATTGGATTCATTTGCACTGGAAAGACATCTCCTAAATTGGAGGTTTAAAAAAAAGGAAAGGTGATACATTTGTAGTAAAAACTCTTGGGGATCAGTGAATCAAGAATAAAAACTGGGGGCACCTGGGGCGCCTGGGTGGCTCAGTCATCAAGCGTCTGCCTTCGGCTCAGGTCATGATCCCAGGGTCCTGGAATCGAGCCCCTCATCGGGCCCCACATCGGGTCCCGCATCAAGCCCCGCATCGGGCTCCCTGCTCAGCAGGGAGGCTGCTTCTCCCTCTCCCACTCCCCCTGCCTGTGTTCCCTCTCGTGCTGTCTCTCTCTCTCTGTCAAATAATTAAATGAAATCTTAAAAAAAAAAAAACAAACAAACTGGGGGCGCCTGGGTGGCTCAGTCTTTAGGTGTCTGCCTTCGGCTCAGGTCATGATCCCAGGGTCTTGGGATCGAGCCCCACATCAGGCTCCCCGCTCCGCAGGAGGCCAGCTTCTCCCTCTCCCACTCCCCCTGCTTGTGTTCCCTCTCTTGCTGTGTCTGTCAAATAAATAAATAAAATCTTAAAAAAAAAAAGAATAAAAACTGAACAGCACGTGGAATTGCTATTTTTTTCATTGGTTTTTTCCTCAGAATCTGATAACATGACATGAACAATGATAGAAAGCATAGAAGAAAAAGGTTTACATTCAGGTCCCCTACTTTTTAAGAAGTTTGTAGAATTTGTCACTACTTTACATGCAAGAGATAGTAAGTTTCCAGATGAAAGGCACAAAGTGCTATCAGAGTTCAGGTCAGACAATGTTTATATGGTCTTTATCATATTAGCTATCTGAGGCAGGCAGGGATAGAATTCTTATTTCTTTATTTAAAATATAGAAAGTCATAGGGGTGCTGGGTGGCTCAGTCCATTAAGCGGCTGCCTTTGGCTCAGGTCATGATCCCAGGGTCCTGGGATCGAGCCCCGCATCGGGCTCCTTGCTCAGCGGGGAGTCTGCTTCTCCCTCTCTCTTTACCCCTGCCCCCTGCTCGTGCTCTCTCTCAAATTAAATAAATAAGTAAATAAAATCTTTAAATATATAT